GTGTAAAAATGCTGTGCCGGAAGGATGTCATCAGAGCGCTCACCCTGTGCAACGGCAGGCACTCTGATGACATCCTGAGGAAGGGGTTGGGGCATCCGGTGTCCAACTGCCCCTTACCTTCCCTGGCTCCAAGATGGCACTTTGCACCATTTGCAGAGCCCCATATGATAGCTAATGGAGCATACCAAGGAATTCCAGAAAAAACAAACAAACAGTATGTGTTTTATAGACTATAGAAAAGCATTTGACTGCATAGATCAGGAAAACTATCCACAGGATCACCATGAGTTGGGGTCAAGTTGAGGGCAACTAACAACAAACAAATGCTATGTAATAGGAGTTTAAACACAGTGTAAATTTATTGTGATTTTCTCTTTGTTAGATTTACCATCTCTCTTCCTGAAACACTTTAGTTTGAAGCCATTTTCTCTTCCCCCTTTAGCTTTCATTAGCCCATGTGTTTGATTATGAAGAAGTAAATGTAAATACAGTTGGCCCTCCATAGCTACATATTCTGCATCTATGGATTCAAACAATCAAGGCTTAATATATATATATTTAAAAATCCAAAGCTTGATTCTGCCATGTTATACAAAGGACACCACTTTACTATGCCATTGTATACAATGGGACTTGTGAATCCACAGATTTTGGTATCCCCAGGGAGGGGATCCTAGAACCAAACCTCAGTGCAAACCAAGGGCCCTCTGTAGAGCTAATGGTATACATTTTGCAACCCCCCCAAGCTTGATTCTTTTTTATGGCAAATGCTCTCTCTCTCTCTCTCTCTCTCTCTCTCTCTCTGTGTAGGAGGCATGAGGCTCACTGTTGTTCAGCTTCTCTCTTGCCAATCAATTATTCTGCTTGAGAGGAATACTACTGTCTGTCACACTTCCCAATAAGCTTGCATAGATAAGAAGATTAAAGAAAGATGCAAATCTTATAATAAATGAAATTCCTCTCATAATTTTTGTAAGCCATGTTGTAATTTGGACCTAAATGACATGCAGTAGTTTTGAGGCCTGATACGCAATTTCTTCAAGGTTTTATATTATTTTCATGTCTTCATGAAATTATAATATTATGATGGTTCCATTTAATTTCTTTTATTATAATGAATAATTTCTTGTGTGCTTGTAAACTAACATTGTGTAATTTCTTGAAAAATGAAGAATTAAGCAAGATTATCTCTTGTCATTTCCAGACCGATCCAGGTACGGGCTGGGAACAGGACAGAATGGGCAAGAATGGGTTTTACTGCTCAGGAAAATGCTGCTGATGATGCAGAGAGTCCACAAATCATTCCCCATCCATGCTATGGTAGTTGATTTTGAAGAATGGTAGCTTTCCATTCTTCAAAATCAGTGGCCATGGAATGGCCGGGAATGGCCTGGGGACTCCCGATGGCATTGATGGCATTTTCCTTAGCAGTAACACTCGTTGTCGCCCATTTCGTCCCATTCCCAACCTGTGCCTGGATCAGTCTAGAAATGACGAGTGATAAACTTAAAACTCCTACACTGCGATTCACTTTCATCTTTTTTGTCTTGTTGTACTTTGCCTGTGGTACTTTCTTTTATCTTATTTCAGTTTAGTGAGCTCTCTCTCTCTTGTCTTTTAAAAACCTTTTAAAATACTTTCTCTTTTCTCTTGCCTTTTCAGTTTGATTGCTTTGTATAGTTTTTTGATAGTTTCTTTCTGGCACTACCTCTCTTCACCTAGCATTATCATGATTCCACCTTCCATTCCTTCCCTATTTCTCTCATCTGCCTCAATCTTTATTATATCTTAGGTCAATCAACTGAGATCATTGTGAATTGTTATGTAGCATAGTATGTGCTTTGTACATGTTAAATGTGCTGAAAGTTATAAATGCTAGAAACAATTAAAAGAAAGTCCTATTATCCTTTCTGGCAGTCTTGAAACAGATTCACTACAGCCCTCTTCATTTGAAAAAAAAAAGAATGGAAAAGAAATGGCAATGTTACTTCCATCTTCACAAAATTGTGCACACTTGATAAACTTCAATAATCCCCAAAGAAACATTAAACCACTGACATTATCCACTAGTTAACAGATGTTCAAGACCATATAGTCAGCAGCTAGAGTTGTACTGAATTTTAAAAAGAAAAAAAGAAAAAAAAAAGAAAGAAAAACAATATGTCTTGACATCTAGTCTTGGGTGCTTTTATCACTGTGTTCTAAAACACAAGCATCTGTAGAAATCTATCTGACAAGTGTTTAATAGCAGCAATGACAACAACAACAGCAGCAGCTGCCACCTCAATAACAACATATCACAATGGATGAATATTCTGCTTGCATATTACACTTTTTTAAAGAGTCTTGTCTGAGATAGCACACAGAGTTACTGCAGGTCCAACTTGCAGTCTGCAAGGATTAAATTTACATCCTCTCAAAACAGCTTTTATATGCCACCCATGGCTTTTACCACCAAGACCACTTTTGAGGATTTGAGACATTTTCTTCTCAACAGATGAGGACTACTGCAAATTAGACATATTCTGTATGGGTATGAAATACTTTAAAGAAAGTTTGGGAAATGGCTAATTGCTTAAAGATCCTCATGAATCTTGGGAAGTCTTCAGAAGACACTGGGGCTATATAGTACAAAGTGCATTGGCAATGGAATCTGTGAAATTAGTGAGCAGAGACACAATTGTAGTGGTACACAATTGTAGTAATAAAGTAGTAATTGTAGTAATAAAGACACAATTGTAGTAATAAATCCTGGTCTTAAACAAAATAGAACCCATTCTGGAGGTAAAAAATGAGTACACTGGTGGAAGAAGAGTGAAAGAAGCCAAACGTACATCTTTTCTTGGAACTCTGATCCTATATGTGTGACTAACATGCATAGCCATTATGCTTTCCTGGGAAAAGAGAATATATAAAATCAAAAACCAACCTGAACATTTATCTACTTTATCAGTTGCTAGGGTGCTTCCTCCCTTTCTAATGAGCATCTTACACATTTATGTGTATTGATCAATTAATGATTACATACATCATGATATGAGTGAAGCTTTAAGATGTGGAAGAAGGGCAATCTGCCTCCCAGGGACATGTGGGAAGAAATCCATGGGGTTTATCAATTAGGGTTAAGTGAAAATTTCATTTAGGGACATATTTTTTTGGCTAGGAATTTTTTCATATCTGTAAATTTCTTCATAAAAGGTATGAAAACAATATGTTGAAATAAAAAAATGGAAATAAGTCAAAGGGCATATTTGTTCATCTGTAGAGAGGGATCTGATATTTGAATGGTTATTTTTTTAAAAACCTAGCTATGAATTCCTGTGTATTTCATCAAGTGCTGTTCAATAAGGGTTGTCACATTTTTTTATTTTGACAGGCCTCTTGTCTTTTTCAGTTACATTGCAGGTAGATGCAACACTGTCCTCTCTGGATTGGGAATAGCTGTACCAATGGTTTAGCCCCAGTGTATATGGGTGAGGCTTTGGTCTGGTTCATTAAAAATAAAAATTAAAAATGACCTGACCAATTAACAATTTTCTTCATAAACAGGATGGAATGAACTTGAGATACCTCAACTTTGAACATTTGAGAAAGTGAAACTTGCAGATTAATCCATCTCTAGTTAAGATGGCTGACTGTAATTAACTCTGCACCTCGTATGTGTTTTTGTTCCTGAAATAGTTTTTCTCCCTTAAGTAGCTACACTTGGTGGAAATAAGCCACTGAAACTTAGTGCTCCCAAGTAAATATGCATAGGATTGCATCCTTAATTAATGCCACTGCATTACTAGGCCATCACTGAATGTCACCTGGTCCCTTTTATACACACTGGCAGAAGTAGAGAACTGATTTCCCAGAGTCTGGCCATATTGGTTATGGGATTCTGGACACTGATGTACAAAAAATGTTCTGTGTTTTTCCCATGGTACCTTTCCACACTGCTGTGATGTGTGTGGAAACAGTCACATGGCTGGGGCATGTAGATATTCCTATTATTATTTCAAGAATAAATTTGGTGGTTTCATTTTTCAGTGTAACTGATTATTTATACCCAATATTCTTCAAAGAATTTTATGTTAAGAAGAATATGACAGAATATGATTTCTCTAAGGTCACCCGATGCATTTCGATAGTTGAGTGGGGATTTGAACCCTGGTCTACCAGAGTCCTAACCCAACACTCAAACCACTACACCATGCTGAGTCATTTAGATAAGATTTATATTACAGCAGATTTCCTTCAGTGGAACCCCTTAAGGAAGAGAGATTCATGCCTAACATGATTGACTTTCTTCTTACAACCCCTTTTCAGAACTGGGTGCCATTCAAGGATACTAGATTTTTATTGGTTAGGTCACCTGACTTGGGCTTCTCATGCCCTAGTTGACATGCTCTGAAAACAATTCCTTTCTTCCACTGACTTCATGGGCACCTCACTTTTCTATATTGAAGAGATTGCACTTCTACTACATTGAAGATCAGCTGCTGGAACCACAAGATTAACACATATCCTAGTTTTTCTATCTAGCCAGACAAAAGTCCAAATGCTCTCCATTGTTGAGGGCAACATGTATCTTTGCCTTTGTTTTAGTCATCATTTTTTCTGCATTTTTTAATACTATCCTAGTTTAATTTATTTTTAAGGGGTGGGAGGGTTAGGGGGAGTATTTGGTGATGTGTTTTACTCTTGTATTGTTTTAACCTGTTGTACGCCACCCTGGTTGCCTTGCAGAGGGGCGGGTTAGAAATAAATTTTATTATTATTATTATTATTATTATTATTTCTTTCCTCAGAGTTGTCAAAGCTGTGATCATGTGAACTGACAACCCCCTCCCCCATTGTTTGTTGTTGTATGTCTTCAAGTCATTTCTGACTTATGGTGACCCTAGGGCAAACCTATCATGGGGTTTTATTGGAAAGTTTTGTCTAAGGGGGTTTGCCATTGCCATCCTCTGAAGCTGAGAGAGTGTGATTTGCCCAGGGTTACCCAGTGAGTTTCATGGCTGAGCAGGGATTGGAAGCCTGTTCTCCAAAGTCACAGTCTATCACTCAAACCACTACACCACACTGGCTTTCATATATGCCCTTACCTTTGCCAATTTCTATGGTCAAGTCAACTGATACAGCCACACACATCTTATGCCTATTCCTTTTACATAGATTTTCACAGATTTGTATCCTACCAGTACATAATGACATGTAGATGTTTCCCAGTGATACAGGCTCTCTTTCTCTTTGGTGAAAACAGAATCAAAGCTCTGATAATAATAGCTCAGCTTGCTTTCCTCCCAGCTTACGCTGCTTTGGTATTTCCTCTAAGGACAGGATTTTGATTCAGTTGACACTGTAAATCTAACAGTTTTGAGTTTTCATTTCCACTCTGTACTGGAAGTGGGACACTTTGCTCTAGAATAGTGAAATGATCAGTCTCTAATTTAACTCAATTAGAAAAGGAAAACTGAGCATTCTTTATAGTCCAAGAAAGTTCTTAAGAAAATTTCAAAGACAAAATGTTGTTTAAAGATCAGTGATGAGGAGACTGAATTTAAATATTAAGAGACAAGAATTTGCCTTCTGGTGAAGGATGATATTTGCATAATAATAAGAATGGCTCCTTTTTTGGAAAGAGAATTGCTGACTGAAATCTACAATTCAGGTGCCTAGATGATCTTCAACTTCTTTTGGCAATGGGAAATATGCAGATTTGGAGGACTGGTTGTCCATCATGTTTTGAATGCACAAGATGAACCAAATTGAGAGAATCTACAAACAGTACAATAAAAGTAGATACTGAGCAAAATTTCCTCCTCAAACAGGTGCAATAACAATTGTTTTTAATGGAGCTGTACCAGTTTACAACATCTGAGGAACTGACCCAGAACACAAGTAAACAAGCTTAGTCGGTCTGAATATTTCAAAAGTGCTTACCTCACCGAAAAAATCCTACTGAGGTAAGGATGTTAAAGTCTATTATAAAAATGCAGCACCTTGTCCTCTTTTTACCTTGGTAGTAATTGAGAATTTTATGCTATTTGCTAATATATTTTTTGCCTCAGGATACTTTGTGGCCCAGTAAATCAAACCATTACATTTTGTGAGGGAAGAACAAGTACATTTGCTTCAAAATTGTTTTTCTCAGTTGTGAAACTTACTGCATAGCCCTTGCAAATCACTGTATCTCACGCTAACTTATCCTGGGGGTAGGAATGGCCCAAGACATTTTTCAGCCTGGGGTAAAAAGCAAAGGTGAAAATGGTGCCTCCATTTCATGTATGGAGGCTGGCTGTACTGGCAGCTGAATCACTAATAATGTGACAGCACACATCCTCCAACATTTCACAGATGAAAACCAGGACATGTGTGGCCAAGTAACATCAATGTGTGGTCATGGTAGCAAAGTTATTAACTGGGAAGAGCACATAAGCTAGGAGAGCCTGCAGTAGTTAGTTTTTGCCTGAGCCTCCAGGGAAGTGCAAGATTCTACCCCCCCCACCTCATGTTAATTGAGCATGTACTACTTTTGCATTTTGAACTCAGTTTGCAGCAACTGATGTAAGCTGTGGACATTAGGGCAAAGTGGGAGGAAAGATACACTGGGACATCTTAAAAGCAGCTGAAAATGTGGGATGATAAAAGATTCATAGGTCTGTCTCTGTCAAATTGGGACAGTTGGAGAGTGCATACCAGTTGTGTGCTTTTTAGTCCTTTGGAGAGTTTTCCCCCCACAACTGCAAACCAGGTGTCTCTAGGAAATCCAGAAGTAAATATGAAGGCCATAACCTTCTTCTACACTGTTATTTCCTTGCAGCTGCTGTTCAGAGCTATGCTGTCTATTAATCAGGCAATACTATATATCCAACAGGTCTAGTAGCCATTGATTGCCCTATCCTACATGAATGAGTCTACCTTGGTATTAAAGCCATATATAGTATAGCCAACTGTTGGCAGAGAATTCCACAGCTTCAGTCTGGTTTGTGTAAAGAAATCATTATTTTTTTGCCTGCGCATAATCCACACAAATGACCTTCAAAGGATGCAGCCAGGTTTGACCTTCCCCTCTCACAGTCTCACATGATGTAGAACAGGTTTAATACATCACCTGATGTTTGGAGAACTGGGGGTTTGTTGAAAACTTCTTCACTTAGCAGTCTGCAGATCTATCAGTTCTAGTGAACCACTTATGCTCAGACCCACTGATTGCAACTGAAATGTGATTTGTCCTGATAGAAGAGAAAAGTCCGCTAGAAGCTGGCAAGGCATGCTGAAGTCATTGCTGTAAAACATAGTCACAGTCAGAATCATGTTCCAAATGAGATATTTGCACACATTTTATTTACCCTTACTGTCTGTTTGTTCAAATTTATTTGTGGCTTTGGGTCTGTTTGGAAGCCATTTCCCATGACCTTCCTTCATTTGTTCCTAGATCCTCCATTGGTTTCACAAAAGGCAATGTGAGCAGGAAGGAAAATTTACTTGGTAATCCTAATTGTTTCAATATGTAAAGCCTTTTTGCCTGTTTTGTTCAAAGTCAGTGGGTTTTGGGGGGGAGGTGGCATGGGCGTGGGTGGTTCAAAGTGCTAGTTTCCTGTTATGCTGTGTTAAAGGGCTTTTAGCAGAGGAATGGTATCATTTGTGATGGGAAGATGTTAGGCTTTGATCAGCAGCTTTTGTGCTTTCTGAAACACCCTTGTTCTGTTCAGTATGCTGCACGTGTGCCTATGGGTTGCTTGATCTATGTGCAGTATATTTTGCTCACTGTCATTCTTGTCATAGTATTATGCAAAGCTTATTAAAATGCAGAAACTTTCCTCCCCCTACAATTATTTCCTCTATGCAATTCATATGACCTCTGGCTAAGGCACCTACTATATTCCTTGTGGGATAATGAGCTTTTGTTTCTGCTGAGAAATGTTGGTTTAGCCTTCCCCTACTCTATAAATCTATCTGAGTTGTACCAGCATATGTATATGCAAGCACTGCTGACTCTCCTGTCATTACTTTCAGCCCCAGCTTTTGCACAGAAATAGAAACCAGGTTGCAATAAGAATAAGGGAAGATGTCACATCCCTCCCCAAAATTAAGGATGCTAAAAGCTGTTTCTCAAATTTCTTTATAACTGAATGGAAGATTACTGACTCATTTAACATTACTCCCACCACCCTACCACCCATTAGTTGCATAGGACTTATAATAGTCATATGTTCAGAGGCATATAAAGTGCATTCATATTTTACTGCACTACCTCCCAAACATGTTCATCAAGAAAAAATGGCAGCCTTTTCTTTATTCATAGATCAGCATAGCTCACTAGCTAGCAGTGCACATCTTTGTATAAGAATCAAAGACAGTTGGAAGGGACCGCAAGAGTGATCTAGCCCATCACCAAGCCATGCATGAATATACAACTAAACCATTCCCAAAAGATGGCCATTCAACCTCTGTTTAAAGATCTCCAAAAAAACACAGATTTCACCTTGCTTTGAGGCAGTCTATTCCACTGTCAACCAATTCTTACAGTCAAGACATTTTTTCTGAGGTGGAAGAGAGTTAAGGCAAATAAGGGGATTTTAAACATTTGTTTGTTTGTTTGTTTCAGGTTTTTTTGTTACAATTTTTTAGAGAAAGTGATAAGAGGATAAGAAAGAAAAGCAAGTGAAGGGGTTAAGAAGGGAAAGAAAGGGGTTGAGAGGATGGAAAAAGGAGTAAAAAGAAGGTGAAAGCATGTGAAGTTTCCAGGAAGACAACAGAAGGTGAGGATAAGAAGTGAAAGGTATAGAATGGATGGTAAATACAGAAAACTGTTTAGAAGGTATGGGCAGGTAAAAAGAAGGTAGGAGAAGGTGTTTAAAGGACTGAGAAGGTAGGCAGATAGATGAGAAAGGATGCAAAGATGATAAGAAGAAAGCTGAAGAAGTTGAGAGGATAGGTAAAATTAGGAAGGCATATGTAAGTGTATAGAAGGTAGAAAGTGAAAAGAAAGTATGTGTAGGTATGGAGAGGATTAATGACAGTTAAGGACGAATTAGGAAATAAAGTAGTAGGAATGAGGGAAATGAAGAGGGATAAGGAAAGGATAAGGATGAAGGGAAAGTAGGGTAGAAAAAGCAGAAGGCAGAAAAATAAAATATAAAACAATGTGAAGTCATAGGCTTTCATGGCTGGCGTCCATAGTTTTTTGTGGTTTTTGTGGGCTGTGTGGCCATGGTCTAGAAGAGTTTCTTTCTGACATTTCGCCAGCATTTGTGGCTGGAATCTCAATCAAAAAATAAAACATGGAGAAAGAAAATAAGAGATTGAAATAATTGTGAATAAGTATATGTACTGGAATATGCAATTAAGCAATGTAAATATGTATATCTATCTAAAGCAATAAAAATCTAAATAAATAAATAAATAAATAAATAAATAAATAAATCTTAGTTTCCTCACTTTTAATGGATTTTTCTACATGGGCCAAGCCCTTCCTACAGCTTGTTCAGTGTTATGTGCTTTTCTTAAGTGGGTCCTTAAGGTCTGAGCTGAAAGGTGTGGTCATTACCTTGGTCAGTCTGATACAGGCAGTCTGCCTTGTTGGTAAGTGAGTTTAATTGCTTGCAGTAGAACTAGGTGTACCCCTATCTCACGAGAAGACAGTACTACCTGTTTAGTTTTCTTGAGCACTGAGATTATCATCATGCAGCATTGCAGGTTCCCTCTTGAGACGCTTAGTGCTTTAAAGGAAAGGGTGTCAGAATTTATGGGGCATAGGAAGACTACACTCAAGGAGTTCTAAAAACTCAAAACTTGAATTTTTGCCAGAAGGGTTGAGAAGTCTGGTAGAGCTGTCTTAAAATGGCTTTGTGATGCCAGTTCAAGGGTAGTTAGACCTCATCATAGGATTAGGCTTATCCAAAGGATCAAGGAAGATTTAAATGTCTGGCAGGATTTCCTTGCCACATTCAATGGGATTTTGTTTTTGTGGGTTGCAATTTTAGTTTCCAGGGTGTTAACCCTTTTAAAGGTAAACTAAAATATGCAGGTGTGAAAGCTAAATTTGTTAGAGTTCATATTCATCAACAGAGCAGCAAAAAAT